CTCTTTACTCCAAGGATAATTTTGGAAAGAAGAAGTTAATTTCTTCTTGATATTTGAAAAAATCAAATATTGTAGACCACAAAAAAAAGACTAAAAAATCACTTAAAATGGACCGGAGAGAATAATATCATACAAGGTGTGCACTTAGAATTCTTAGGTTTTAGTTTTTGATTACAATGCACTAAAAAGTTTTGATTAGACAAATTTTCGTCGTACTTAAATATGATACATCACGATCATGTAATGTCTTATTTTTCTTGAACATTAATTGTGCTCGTGAGTCGTGTCAATGTCGAGTTTTATCGTATTGTCGAGTCTCCGTTCATGCAAGAAGAGGAAGGAATTCAATTTGGGACTTAACGATAAAAAGGAAGGAAATTTATATCCTTCAAGAATTTGTAGTAATGAAACATAAATTCATAAAGAACATTTTTGAATTTTCTTTTTTATGTATTTTCTTGAAAACTGATTGTTAGTTAGGACTTGAGGGAGAATGTATAAATTCTTATATTCCATTTCACTAAAGTCTATCTAAAAAGAAAACCACTTTATTCTTTAGCATTTATTAAATTATCCATTCGAAAGATTTGTGTGATCTTCCTGATTATAAACAAAATGATCTGTAAGCGGAAAGGAGGTAAAGAAATATCAACTAGACGAATAAAATATTAAAAGTCTTTCTACATTAAAACAAATACGCCATCCTTATCTCACTTTATTAAAATAAACTACTACAATTTACAATCTTTTATTAAAGAAAATTGTCAAATGTCACCCTTCTTCTAGGCCTTTTTAAAGGTTATGGTGATGAGATAAGTGCTTTATTTGTTTTTCTTGAAGATGTATTCTTGTTGTTCGTAACAAGTAAATGATAAACAATTAAAAATTAACAAGACGCATTTATGAGGATTAAGGTCCACGATGGCCTTTTTGTTGATTTTAACAATATAATCTTTTTATGAATGAAAAAGGGGTGCTTCGAATCAGAAATAACACCTAGTGATTGGACAAATATTGGGGATAGGGATGCATCGACTCAGAAGTAACCATTAGTGATTGGGCAAAAATTGGGGATAAGGAGTTAAGGACAAAGGAAAGAGCAACGGCTACAGAATGGTGAGAGCCTTTTTTTTAGGTAATAAACAACTAGATTCCATTTAACAAAATAAACTTGTTTAATTGGATACGAAATTTATGAAAAAACTAGTGAATTTGTCCGCGCTTTGCGCGTTTATATAAAAGATATATTCTTAAATATAATTGAAATAGAAGGAAATAAAGATTTCATGCTTATGTACACAAAAACTAAACCATATAAAATTATCGGAAAGAATAAACAAAAAAAAAAAAACCAAAATAACTCCCATAATCATCTTTCTATAATAATCTTGAGGCTTCATTGCCCGTCAGTTGAAGCTTTATTTGAAGGCACAAGCTCATTTCCATGACGCATAAACCAAAAGAAGAAAAAGTTTCCGAGATGGGAATGCTAAATAATAGGAAGTTCCTTCTAGCAATAATAATAATAATAATAATAATAATAATAATAATAATAATAATAATAATCAATTCATAAATGTTGGATCATCTATTGAAAATTATCACTATCACCCTAATACACCTTCCTAAATTGTATTATAGGTGAAGTTAATAAATTAAAATTCAATAAACATAAAAAAAATATACAACTTGACGAATTAAAGTACAAAATTTTTATCGGGGAAAATATGTACGGAAATGAAGTGTGATGCAAAGTTTAAAATGAAAAAATGGATAAACTCTTATCAGAAGACAATACATATCAAATTGATTCAAAATAGACTTGATCCTCTGCACCTTTGTACTCGTACTCTGACGATCTCATTCCCAATTTTTTTGGCACAACTAAAATGTTCTGAGTTGCACTCATTGTTCTTGCTAATGCTCTATCTACCTCTCTCTCTTTCTCTCTCTTTGTTCCTCTTCATATTTTCATTCTCACTTTAAAGAAGTGGTAGAACAAAAATGGCGGCAAGGGAAGTCTCTCAGAATATAGTTAAAATGGCAGACAAATTTTATTTGGACGGAAAATATTGCGATGATAACTCTTCAATTTAAAGTGAAGACCCCCATTAAATTCAAAAGGGCGTGGAGATAAAACCCGAAATGATTAGTAGCTCTTTGCCATCCTTATTTGCATAGATGGAGCTTTTACCATTAGACTCATAATGTGCTCGAGTAAGAAGTGGTTTGGATTGACGATATTTAAAGCCAAAATTCAAGAGGACCACCCCGTTTCTTCATTTAGTATAGGGGTAAATGAGAGGGCATAGCTATGGAAAATGAACCATTATTGGACAATTAAAAGTTTTGAAAACAGAAAGACTACACTTTCTTTAACGTCATTCTCATTTAATTGAGCAATGAATGCATATACAGTAAACTTTTTAACGGGAGTGACTTTATTTTTCAGCAAATTTTTAAGGGCAAAATAAGATAAAAGGCTAAAAATCTGACAAAAAAGATAAATACCAATGCTGGACATAGGAAGGTGTCACATCACCTTTTCTATTCCCAGCTTTATATATATAGATAGATAATGTAGTCTAAAGATGACTGAAATTGCATAATTTACTTATGCACAGGTAAAAGAAGATACTTCTTTTTCCTATTTTTCTAAAATGAATCATCCTTGTGAATCGTAACTGAAACTGAAGTTTAACCATTTTCAAGAAATAATGAATATAATTCAGTATTACAATGCAAGATTGTGCATTCACCACAAGTCACAATTTTGATTACCACTTTATCGAATTCCAAGAAAGTAAGCACATTGACAGTAGTTATTACAAACTAAACAAGAACATCATCTAACATTAGTCTGAGACAGAAAACTCGCCGGAAAAACCTCGCTGAAGTTTGAACGGAAACCTCACCTAACCTCGACTGTTTCTGGGTATTTTTGGATTGTTTAGGGGTGATCTTTGGGACTGATTTTGGTCCAGAAGGGGTGGGATGGCCGTTGCTCTAGTGAGAAAGAAGATGAAGATTGAGATTTGGTCGTGAAAGAGAGAGAGTGAAGTCCGTTGTTGAAAAGGTCTTTTCCAAGAAGATGAAGATCGTTTCTCCTCTCTTGTGTGTATCTGATGATGTGCGGCTGCTTTCCTTTATCTGTATGTCCTCCTTTTTTTGTGTGTGTGTTCTTCTCTTAAATAAAGAAGAATGAGGTTGGTTATATGTAGATGGAGATGTGGGTGTGAGTGTGTGATGTAGAAGACGTGGGTGAAGTGGGAAAAATGGGGAAGTTGGATCAGATTTTTGTAATCTCTTTTTTCTTTCTTTTTCGTTAGTTTTTTATTTATTTATTTCTTTTTTTAACTTTTCTTAACCTTTTTTTTTATTTAAACAAAAGAAGATAAAACATACATATATACACACACACGCGCGCGCGCACACACACACACACACACACACACATATATATATATATATATATATATATATATCAACCAACTTACTTTTAGACTTAAAGAAACTATATAAATAAGAAAACTCNTAATAATAGAAGTTACTTCTACGCATAATAATAATAATAATAATAATAATAATAATAATAATAATAATAATAATCAACTCATAAATGTTGGATTCATCTATTGAAAATTATCACTATCACCCCAATACACCTTCCTAAATTGTATTATAGGTGAAGGTAATAAATTAAAATTCAATAAACATAAAAAAAAAAAAAATATACAACTCAACGAATTAAAGTACAAAATTTTTATCGGGGAAAATATGTACGGAAATGAAGTGTGATGCAAAGTTTAAAATGAAAAAATGGATAAACTCTTATCAGAAGACAATACATATCAAATTGATTCAAAATAGACTTGATCCTCTGCACCTTTGTACTCTGACGATCTCATTCCCAATTTTTTTGGCACAATTAAAAAGTTCTGAGTTGCACTCATTGTTCTTGCTAATGCTCTATCTCCTCTCTCTCTTTCTCTCTCTCTGTTCCTCTTCATATTTTCATTCTCACTTTAAAGAAGTGGTAGAACAAAAATGGCGGCAAGGGAAGTCTCTCAGAATATAGTTACAATGGCAGACAAATTTTATTTGGACGGAAAATATTGCGATGATAACTCTTCAATTTAAAATGAAGACCCCCATTAAATGCAAAAGGGCGTGGAGATGAAACCCGAAATGATTAGTAGCTCTTTGCCATCCTTATTTGCATAGATGGAGCTTTTACCATTAGACTCATAATGTGCTCGAGTAAGAAGTGGTTTGGATTGACGATATTTAAAGCCAAAATTCAAGAGGACCACCCCGTTTCTTCATTTAGTATAGGGATAAATGAGAGGCTATGGAAAATGAACCATTATTGGACAATTAAAAGTTTTGAAAACAGAAAGACTACACTTTCTTTAACGTCTTTCTCATTTAATTGAGAAATGAATGCATATACAATAAACTTTTTAACGGGAGTGACTTTATTTTTCAGCAAATTTTTAAGGGCAAAATAAGATAAAAGGCTAAAAATCTGACAAAAAAGATAAATACCAATGCTGGACATAGGAAGGGTGCCACATCACCTTTCCTATTCCCAGCTTTATATATATATATAGATACATGAAAGACTTTTCGAATTTATGGTTCTAAACAAGTCAAAAAGAAATCCAGAATATTTGTGTGATTATAAAAACTTCTCGTTAAGGTAGAATAAAAAGTTTAAACTAAATTGTTTCGAAGTTTAGAAATGAACAGACTAAAAAGGAAATAGGTTCGCATAAACTCCACGAGGGAGTACTTGGTATCTCTAATTTGAGTTGAGCTTTTAGGTTGAAACCAATGTATAGCTATCAAAATATGCCGGAAAGAAAGCTAGAAGCACAGAAAACAACTCAATCGACCTGCAGAGTTAAACAAAAATGATGATATCAAAAAATGGAGAGCTTAAAAAAATTCTCCTCTCCTTTCTTAACTTTTTAAGGCACGCACATGGAGACTGCATGTAAAGACTTAACATGGCCTATATCAGTATAAACCAAGCTAATGTTTTTTTAAGAAATGAATATTTTTTAAGCTGATGAGGGCAACAAGATTATAAACTAGAGGGCAGTTTCAAACTATTAGATCTTCCCAGAAGGGAAAACAAAATTTGAAGTAACACAATAATAAGGCAACATTGTTTGAAATCTCAAAAATTCAACTCTAAATAAATGCCAAAAAGATAGTCTCATGGAATCTCTAGCTTCATAGTTCCCCTAAAGCTCCATATCAGACTTATCTAGCCTCATGGTCCCCTAAAGCTCCATCTCAACCTTCTATTTAATGAGACTTCACGTACTCTTGGACGATATGGAGACCCTCAGTCTCTTCACCATAATCCTGCAGGATCAATCAGAAAATTCGTTAAGATGGAATATAAATTCCGGTTAAGAAACTTATAAGCAACTATTCATGTAAAGCCAAAGGATATATAGGATGTACCTTCACGACAACACAGCCACAACCAACAACCTTCCTTGCTTTCCCTTCAGAATCAATTTTGCATAACTGTCATCGAAGAAAGATCATAGTCGATGAGTGATTATATTTTGATTTACATGATACACTTCAACAAAAATGCAAACTACAGAACACTTCAAAGAGAAGTCAACTCCAATACAAGTGCGGAAAACACAATAACTTAGTCCAACATAAGGTTAAGGCTTCAGTCATGGCATTCTGAGTATTATTTATCACAAGTCCCTAAAACATTTCACCTCCTAAAAGATGGGAGTACCTAGTAAAGACGCACATTCCAATTTCATTTTCACATCAGAAACAGCTACTCAAGTATGTATAGTAAAAACTGAGATACTAACTGGGGCCATAGATGAGCAATGATCAATTACTTACACCAGCCCACTCGCCAAGAGTTTTTGCATTGGGAACTGTAATCAAACTGACATTGTGATCAGCACAAAGTGCTTTCACCAGCTTGACGTAATCTGGCTGGTCACAGTCCTCAGCTAGCACACAAAGCTGTGCAGCATGCTTCTCAATCACCTTTGCACCTTCATGGAGTCCTCGAGCAAGTCCTCCATGAGCTTTAGACTTCCTTAGCACCAGCTGCAGTGCGGTCATGATGTCCATGGGCTCCCCAAGTGCTGGAGCAGGAGTCTCGGCAGCGACAACAGGAACAGCAGCATCCTCTCTACAGATATACAACTGTCAGGTAAGAGTACACCTTATACTAAAGATAAAGATAGGCACACATCAAAGACCAGATTGGCAAAGCAAGAAATCACCAGCCAGTGTCACATTATAATGGTATTAAAGCCAATGCCACAAGAACATCAAACTCGACTAATTCAGAACGTTGACATCATAACATTTTTCTTTCTCATTAAAGCTTGGAATATCAAAGCAAATATCCAAATCCCCTTAAATATGTCTATATGCAAGCTAAGACAATCCATTTTTTCATGATACTTTGTCTACATGCAGTAACATGTCCATTATTCCATGAAAATAAAGTGGTCAACCAATTGGATAAAACATTTGCTATATGACAGTTCTGCATCAGTACCATGACAATTTAGGGTTTTGTAATTCTAACAACAAACAACATATATATAAAAAGGCTACGAGATACGATAGGTACCTGAAACATAGAATTAAGAAATTCTCATACGCTAATTGTATTTGGTTCTGCTTCAAATGACCAACAAAAAAGCCAATTTTTGGATGGTTCTACTGGTTGGGTTCCTTTGAAATAATGACATATTAGTTTAATTCCAGGGAATGTATTTGTTTCATGATTCTACAGACAGGAAACACTTATGGTTGGGTTCATTTGAAAATTTTGAACATTGAACTTGCAAAGTCTAATCTTATTGTGGATCAAGCAATTCAGTAAACCATACAAAATCTATCACGTGTCTAGATTACTAAAAATAAAAAAGACAGCAACTTGAACACTATAATGAATTTAAAAAACTGAATTTAATGAGAAAGCTTACAAATCACCAAGCTTACCCTGACATATTTCTTTCTTGGTAAATGTTAAACCCAAAAAAACACAGCAACCTGTTGTAAGTTGAACACGAAACTCAGTCAGGTAAATAGAATCAATAACAGACTCCATAAACCCTCATACTAAATATATCGTGTCAACTCATCCAAAATAGAACCACCCCCAAAAGAATAATTTTGATTTCACAATAAAGTAAAAAAGATCCTTTAACATTTCCCAGAGACAAAAGAAAAAACCAAAATAACAGTAGGATTTGAAATTGCCCAAAGTCATGGGTTAACACTTAACAGTTCAGTTTATGAATAAGGGTTTCTGACCTTAGAATTTAGAGACGAAGCAATCTGCTTTGAGCTGCAGTAATGGCAAAGGGGGCGGTAGTGGAGAAGAGTGGCATAAAAGGTTTATATATATATATATATATAAGAGGATCAAAGCTTCAACCCTAAAGTTGCATTCTTAATTACTAAATTGCCCCTTTTCTGATTCTCTTCTGTCAAATGTTATCTCCTATGGGCTATAGTTCGGCCCAAAACATACAACTACTAATCCCAAAATTTCACGGTATAGCTAGTTTTCGGATTGGTCAATCAAAAATAGCCAGCGTTTACCAAATCAATGAAAAATAGCCACCGTTTTGCTGCAATAGAGACCGGTCCAGCGATATACTAGAGTTCGGTGCACTTGTGTATGAACTCCAGCATATTAACTCCATCATATTATGCTCCAGTCTCCAGTATATTATACTGGAGCCAGCAAAGTATACCGGTCCAGCATAATATGCTGGAGTTTATACACAAGTGCACCGAACTCCAGTATATTATGCTGGACCGGTCTCTATTGCAGCAAAACGGTGGCTATTTTTTATTGACTTGGCAAAACGCTGGCTATTTTTGATTGACCAGTCCGAAAACTGGCTATACCGTGAAATTTTGGCTCAATGAATCAATTACTAATGTACAGGGACGTTCAAAAAGAAAATAGTTGATTTTAGTTTGATTTACTGTTAAACAAAAATAACTGGAAAGAAAGGAGAAAAAATTTATTTACCTTTTATAGTTATGTGTGTGTGTGTGAATTTCTGTAAATATTTTAATACATCTCATAATTTTCATTTGGATTTAGGGTGTGTTTGGTATGAAGGAAAACATTTTCTGGAAAATGTTTTCCAATTTTCCCATGTTTGGTTGGCTTAAATGTTTTGGAAAACATTTTTCTTATCAATTCATTTTCCTCCAATTGGAGGAAAATGTTTTCCTTATCAAAAGAAGGGAAAACATTTTCCAAAGCTCCTTCTCAACCTTTCTCACCCTCACCAACCCACCCCACTCCCTTTCCAAAAAAAGCTTTTTTTTTTTTTAAATTTCAGTTTTTCCGTTACCATCCACCCTACTATCCCTCCATCCCCCCCCTCCCGCAAAAAAATTATTTTTTTTACCTTAAATTTTTTTTTTTTTGCAATTTCAAATTTCTGTTTTTTCATTTTTCTGCAC